AACTGATAGGAGTGGGCTAGGCGATGCAGTTCAGGTGAGTATTCTTTTAAGGAAACTGGCTCCGCAAGAATATGAGAAGTACTCTAATTACATTTAACCCAAGAACCCGTGAGGTGTGTTACTGGACGAAATTGTGAAGCACTTAACCAAGATTTTCGACCCTAAAACGTCACTTTATAACGCAGGTTTAAGATGTTTTTAAGTAGTTAATCGTCAAGAGGATGATGTTGTGACTTATGCGCTTGTCGTCCATCGAGAATGTGCGTTTTCAGCATAGCACGCTCACGTGGTAAGTTTAGAGCGTTCAGTTTTGCCAGTGGATTACTTCACCAAAATATACAGTGATTCGAACATCTATGGTACCTAGGTAGCAGTCTATTCCAGAAGTCTCAATACAGGAGCACGTACATGTATGTGCATGTATGTTGACACTGAAGAATGACACAAAAATGATTTAACGGCATGGCCGGTCTTGCATGGTGGACATTCCCACTATTCCTACAGGCCCTAGGCCATGGCACAATTCAGCACATCTCTCCGGATTTACACGCCAAAGCCGCCGGCCTAGTGCTTGTCGACATTGTGGTCTGTGACATTTCACTCGAGTTTGTGCATTCAGACGATTTATTTGTAAAGGCTATGGAATATGAGAAATAAGGCAACCAAATGTTTTCAGAGCCTCTGAAGAACAGTCACAAAGCTTCGCCAAATTCCCAAGCTTCTAACGTTGCCTTACAACATTGGTGCTTTTATCTACTAACCCGAAATATCAGTTAATGAAGAATTAAGTTACGATTCTGGTAAACGGTTTCCTGTTCGTCCTCAATTGTACACTGCTGCTGATATTACACTAACCTTTGAGTTGACATGGAGCAGGCTCGGTAAACCCTCAAGTGTTCAAATTTAATACGCCACTCACGATGAGTCAGGTTCAGAATTATCTTCCCTTGGACAGTTCACGTGAGTTTTCCCTTCGCAATCTGTGTGCTAATGGTGCTGCTTATGTTCCATTTTCTGGGCATGTTTTTCTGGGAATGTTTCTAATAATGGTTCTCCGTTCACCTCTCAAGAATTTTCGGACTTTCGCAACTCACATGGCATAGAAAGCATACGCACTCCAGCAGTTAAAGGGGCAGGCTGGAGTTTGGTCGACAAGTTTAAGCGAGCATTAAAGTGGAGGGAGAAGAGAATATTTAGGAAATCATCAACCTTTTTACAGATATTTTGTACTAAACTAGGTCCGTCCATGCCTCAAAACGGATCTCAATACAAAGCGTTTCTCAGTAGGCGTGTCAAAACTGTGGATGATGCTTTGAAGACATCACTACACAAAGGTGAACGAAATATTCAAGTGGAGCTAACTTTCAACTGCCATCATGAAGCACACCGCCGACATTTCATACCTGATTATAGTGTGTATGTACAGAACTTTGGTGACGGGAAAAAACCTGAATTCCTGGCCGTATTTTGGAATGGATTTCAAGTGTTTTGCACAGAAGACAAGTGGATTCCCTTAAATGGACTGAAGATATGTACCAAATTAGACCCCGTTTTGAGGTTCAAGGGCCGCCCCAAAAACAGGAGCTGCATTATCTTTGGATATTTTACCACATACATATCAAAGTAACCCATTTGATGAGCCTGCCGCCGGAAAATATCTGAAACAACTGCTTGAAGATATGCAACGCGAACCTAAGGCACAGTGCAGTGACCCGATGTTAACGCAAGACTAGGGCATACGAATCAAATGTGACGTGCTGTTCAGTTCAGTATAATGGGAGAGAGGCGTTGGGAGTACTCACGCATGATAGTCGTTCACAGCTCGACAGTTTCGCCAACCGTTGCCTGCGTTCTTCACGTGACTGGTTGCTTGACCTATTGATATTTGTTGTACCCTGTCCGCTTACGCATGTCAGTTTTAAGACAGCTCGTCCTCATGCGGTGAGTTTTGCTTCCTTTCTAAATGGATTGCAGCTCCCAATGTCACGCATCAGAATAAGCACACCAAATCAACGTTGTTCCTTAACTGAAAGCAGGGTAATTGATCCAACCTACTGATGAGCAATTTTAATACCTGTGTACACAATTCAACTTCGACACTTTGATCCGTTCAAATTACGTTTGCAACCACCTACAGCCGCGCACTGACATACCAGCCCAGTATGATGGAAACGCCAGCTACTGACGTTGATTGAATGAATCAGAACAGAGAACCTAAAATATTTGCGCTTTCTTGTTTTACGAATCAACTTGATCAAATAATTTAATTTTGGATTACTGAATACTGTGTCCAAGGACCAGCAGAATATTGAATATTTTAGTGATCATGAATCATTCATGAATTAAATATTTGTACACATTGGATTTTCTTCTTATTTAAATCCTCCCACCGTCCAGTTTTTTAACTGATTGCACATACTGATCACTTGCTCCGCTAGTTAGTCACTCCGCGTACTGTTGTCTGATTCTGCTTACCTGGCCTCCATTCTTCGTAGCTTTTGTTAAAACACGTTGAGTCCAGACAATCTTACTGTTTACCCTACTTCCTACTCGGCACGCCTCTTATAATTGGCATCTGAGTAGCACCCCAGAATATAAGAGTCCTCCGCCTAATGTGAATGCAACTTACATCCAAAATTGGTTTAACAATAGTGGAATCATCCTTCTGCGTCTCCGGCGAGTTTCGCATTCATTCAGTTGATTGGTTACATTTCGAGAAAAATGTATGATCGCTTGAACGTGTCCCTGTCATTCAGTTCAATGGGCCTGGTACTTCCCTAGTGGCCGGTTTAATAAACCAGCCAGTGAGTTTAGAATGGCAAAATCCGTGCTGTAATCACGTGGACGGAAGTGACGTTAAGCGTGGTAAATCGAAATACGCTGCTTCTGCCTGAGTAACTGTCCAGAGAACCGGTAGGTCAATCTTCATTAATGGGAGGAAAAGCATCGGAATATTGCTGCCGGCTGTGCAGTCGTAGCAGTTTAAGTGTACTTTTCGTGACAGGTGGTAGAGTGCAAGGCGCTGAAGAAGCAGCTAATGCCCCGATTTTCGAACTCGCAGCCTTTATCTCTCCCATATTGTCATGCACATTACTGACTCCATTGTTTATACATGTAATTTTCAACATATCAATTGTGCTAAGTAAGGTACTCTCCCTGCGTAATCATAGCTCTTCGGAAACCGAAAACATTGAAGACTGCGGTCACCAAGCTAGCTGAACCAATGTCACAGTTCTTCCGTAGATGCTTTGATGAACAACAAGTCCCCACCATGTGGAAACGCTGCATTAGCACTAATTTTCAAAGGCAGCAGCCGGTCAGAAGCTGCAAAATAACGCCCAGTGACTCTCCTCCCGGTGCTCGCGAAGCTGATGGAAGCGGTCGTCGCTGAGGCTCTAATGAACTAACAGGCAAAGTGCCACATCTTGACCCCGGAGCAGCATGGTTTCCGACAATACCGGTCATGCACCAACAACCGGATGATTACACGAGGTAATTGAATGCAAGTGGCTGATGATGAGGTCGGAGTTAACGCCATCTATCTGGACTTATTCAAAGCATTCGACCGCCTGGATCACTGCGTCCTACTTCACAGGCTACAGAGCTACGGAATCGGAGAGCCTGCTCTTGTTTAGATTGGCAACTTGCTTCACCAACGGAAGCTTCAAGTATGTGTTAGGGGATCAACCTCTGAGCCGATTGAGTTGGAATGTGGTGTCCCACAGGGATCTGTGCTGTGCCTACACTTATTCCTTGTGTTTGTTAGCGACCTGGCAAGAGTTATCTCCTCATTTTTCCTGCTCTTCCTTGATGACCTCAAGATATGGCGGGCGATTAGTAACAATGAAGACCATGATCTACTCCAGCATGACATATCTTGCATTTATGTATGGTCAACGTGAAACCTGCTTCCTTTAGACCACTAGTGCTCCATCTGCACCACCAGCCGGTGAGCGCCTACAAGCTTAGAGACCACACCTTGCAGAAGGCCTCAAAGGAGCGTGATCTGGGTGCACTGGCACAGAAAGTTTTTGGATACTCAAAACAAGCAGAGAAGGCTTCGAGAACCTCTAATCAACACTTTGCTCTTCTTCGCAGGGCGTTCGGTTGGTTTGAACCCTCAATGTTTTCCCAAATGCTTGAGGGCTACGCGCGACCGCACGTGGACTATGCTATTCAGGGGTGGCAGCCATGGCGGAAGCAGGATCTCCTTGCTTTCGAGACTCCTCAACGAAGGGCAACCAAGGGCGTCATAGCCTCTTTCATCTGCCCTATCAGCTTAGACTAAAGTCTCTAAGAATGTATAGCAGTCGATATCGGCGTTTGTGGGGATCTCATAATGTTTTACCACATTCTGAAGAACGCAAACCAGATTTGCCGTCAACTGGAATTGAACCATAACACTAAATTAAGAGGTCATCCTCTAAAACTGAAAATACAGTATAGCCGGCTTGAATGCCTTGGAAATTTCTTTTTCATCCGCTTTTGTCAGCCTTAGAACGCTCCCAATCTGGTGACATTTAAAAAACGAGTTGAGGTTGCGTTGTCTCATTTGCATTTCACTTTATAACTTGTTAGCCAGGGGCTACAAAACACAATCAAACGGTGTCTTACCAAATTCGCAACCAATAGATTTATGGATTTATACGTTTACTACGTGAACATCTCGGCTGTTCCACATAAGTCTATGTTGAGTCCACCAAAACGCTTTTTACGTTATCATGCAATTTAACTTTCGCAATAGCTTCCATCCCACGGAACTCGTTAAGCATTGCTTTTTACCCGTAATACACCATTGTTCGATTGTTCCATTGAAATCCAGGTTCTGAGATCAACTGAACATTTTGTCGCCAATCCTGGTTACGTAGCATGGATTTCATCTCAAAGCACGTAAGCTAAGAAATATCTACGTCTTATCAAGTTCCAAAAGCTGTTTTAAAGGAGAAATAAGGAAATATACGATTGAACCTCATACGAGAAAATATAAGCGTTCCACTCACGTGTTTTATTATCCTGTCTAATGCCGGTTCCGCATTTAAGGTACCGACCCCAACTGCCTTCTCGCAGGAATCTCGACACTTTTTCGGTTGCATTGAGCTCTGCTTCCGTTGATTTGGGCAGTTGTACTGACTTTCTTTTTGCACCTAACAGGGTATTTGTATTAGCATAGCACACAAGCACACAGAAAGCCCAGAATAATGTAGCAGGTTAGAAAGGCAAATCAAGAAGTAACAGTTGAATATGCACCTTAAATGAGTCAGCTGCAAACATCCGACTGAGTTGGAAAAATGCACAGCTGATTGCAAGTATTTAAGGATTGATTACGCACAACAGGTGCGTGTGTGGGGATTGACGGTGGCCCTGTGAAATGCAACTTGCAAAGTAAAATTACGTCGAAAATAAATCAAGTGTCAGGCTTGTAATTATTGCCTTAATTGTCTCGTGCGGGACGTACTTTTGCGAGAGCATAAAACTCCGTTGCCTCGACTAACCTTAGTATAGATTTATGTTTATGTCCGATCGATAGATGGTTATTCAACTCGTGCAGTTAAGGAGATAATCATCCCCAACTAGGTAGGTCACCAGCAGAGTGCGTTTGTAAACGCATTGACGAACCGTACATCACACCGAATTGAGCTATGGGGGGTTCGCAAATTTTCAGGGCGCCAGTCACAGGCGATAGTAAGTCATCGAAAAATAAGATATAGCGTTGCGGTAACGCTTCAGTCAATCATCAGAATCATACGAAGACGTCATTGACGTTTTACATCCAAGCCATCACCACCGCTCACGTGCTGGGTACGAATGGTATAATGCTACCTACACCTAAGTAGGCTCAAATCAGTGCATTTGAGTTACAGACCGGATGTCAGAACCACACCTTTCCGTGTTGTAGTTAACAGCGAAGTCATTTACAAGTTGATGCCTTAGGGTGCTATCTACCGGTGTTTGTAGAGCTAGGAATTTCTTCAAGATAGCCGAGGCAGAATGTTGTCCTCTGCTGCGATCAACAGACTCCGGACGGTTTTCTCTTGGATGTGTTAGAAAGAAAATATTGGTTAGATTTTCTATGCGCTAAAAGTATCTTGTGAAAATTTTGATAGCAAGCAGTTTCTGTTCTCATTATGAGTTTCCCGAAAAACAAGACCTTGCGTTTTCGCCGCTCAAATTTCGGAGAATGTACCACAGCTTCGTGTACCACAATCGTCTAAATCTTGGTCTGGTGATGTTATTAACTCCGAAACAAACGCCTTAGAAAGCCAAACATCAGGCAGACGCACTCACATGTGTTATATAACATTCTCACTACAAATTAGACGTTTCGCAAACCAAACTGGACTTGTTACAAGCCAAACTGGACGTATTGCAACTCATATTGAATGTTTTTACCAAAACAGACAAGACACTATTTATGTTAAGCCGAAATTCAACAATTTGCTGGCAAGTTTTGATGAGCAAGGCCACTGGACGATATTCAGGCCAACTTGCGGTCAGGCCAATGTATCCCGAATTGTGCAAGCAGTGGACGCTAGTGCAAGCGAACGTCAGTGGCGCAGTAAGAGACCCTTACAAGCTTGTGTTTGTCGACGGTGAAACCGTTCAAGAAGCGGCTGAAATCGCTAATGTCAACGAGAGCACCATAAGAAACCATCAGTGCCTACAGGAGAGAGGGCACCTTTACTCAGCGCAACAGTACAAAAAACAACAGAGTGAAGCTGACTTCAGATATCCTACAATGCATCGACGCGGCTGATAAAATGACATTCGGGGGACACTTCGGTGCAGATACGTCAGTGGCTGAAAACGAACGCCAGTCTTAGCGGGACTCGAAGTCTTCAAAGGGAAACGGACGTACTGACGTTGTTCACTTGGTTAAACGTGGACTTGTCGACTGGATTGGAGCGAAGCCGTGCGACTGTGTGTGAGTTGAAACTAGAAGACAGGCGACTATTGAAGCAAGGTGGGGAAGGGCCGAGCATTTGGGGATTGAAAATGGGGGGATAAAAGTAAAGTTGCCGCGGGTCGCTGAGGATTATAAAGCGCAAGATGGGCTAAGAAGACAGGTAGGCCTGAGCCGTAGCATCCAAACCCTACCCACCCTGCTCGATGCAGCAGATAGGGAGTTGTTGATTATCTTCCGCGACGGCCAGAGCATCAAGAAATTGTTATAAAAAAGGTGTATTGCATTGCGTGGGCAGGATACTGTCAGGTTGCCCAAGCCTAGACTGGAGAACGAGCATGTGCGGCAGACGTCGAAGGCAAAACAAGCTGAATGCCAATTTTGCTGTCGTTCACATCCAAAAGGCAAGGAGGATTTTCCAGCATGAGGCAGAACTTGTATGAATTGAACAAAAACTAACTATTTGGCACCTTGTTGCCGAGCGGGAAGGTCGATTCAATGAATGATGACAGTCAGAACGATGTTCAGGAGCTAACAATCAACAATATCAGAGAACGCGAGCGGTCAGTTTGTATATTCGCAAAGCTAGTCACTGATGGACGGCCGGTACGGTTCCACCTGGTTTTAGGAGGCAGTGTAAACTTACAACCCCGAAAATACTGTCCGGATGCAAAATGCCACAAAACCCAGACCTGCCTCAGGATGTGAAACGGCTCAAAGTGACACAGCTAAGGGGCTGTGTTACGGTACAATCATCAACTAGAAGGATGGCTCAGTGCATTTGCTTGAGTTCCTCGTGGTATCAGCAGATGTTTGCCTGGAAGTTATTGAGAATACCTGTAGCTTGTGGTGTAGATGAGAGGATTGTCCTCTTCTCCGAGCCGGGCATTTCTGTTGCAGACGTTTCGTTACCAAACTAGGCAACATCTTCAGTGAGGCTATGCAGTCCTGATTCGCGGAGTCTCGCACTGAAGATGTTGCCTAGTTTGGTAACGAAAAGTCTGCAACAGAAATGCCCGGCTCGGAGAACAAGATGTTTGCTTATTCTAGGCCTTAATTCCATTCAGACTTTGGGTTTTCTCTCCTGTAATCATGACCGTTTTGTTCATTGCTTGACGCTAGCACTGAGATCGTAGACAATTATCGTAGCGTGTTTGATGATGCGGTGGGGAAATTCCAAGGGGAAGCTCACCTATCGTTGTACGAATCCGCGAAACTAGTAGTGTTTCCGATTAGAAAAGTACCCATCGCTTTGTGTGAGAAGATTTTAGATGAGCTGCAGCGCTTAATCCCTATGGGCGTTATGGTTAATGTTTATGAACCAACATATTGGGTCAGTTAGGTCGCGATAGTCACCAAGAAGTCAGGTGATTTGCACGTGTGCATCGATCATAAGCCGCTCAATGCCGCGCTTAGAAGAGAATATTACACGCTACCAATGCTAAATGATGTCCTGCTGGTATTGTCCAAGGCCAGGCTATTTACAAAAGTCACCCACGCTGCTGCTTTCTGACACATTCAACTTGACGGAGAGTCCCGCTAGTTAACTACGCTTGGAACATCATTCGGACCTTTCCGATGGTTGCATTTGTCATTTGGTTTGAAAGCATCCAGTGAAATATTGCAAAAGCGGTTAATGCATGCACTAGATGACCTACCGGGAGCTCTATGTGTAGCGGATGACGAGCTACTTTTCGGAGCCATTTGAGAAGTGCATGACCGTAATCTACGCAGATTTCTACAGCGTAATGTGGACAAGGATATCAAACCGAAGAGCGAGAAGCTTGCATTACGCAAAACGGAGGTTGTTTTCCAAGGACAGGTTTTGAGTTCGGGAGGGCTAAAGTCGGATCCGGAGATAGTCAGTGCCATAAAAGATATGCCACCCCCGACAGATGTGAGAGCCGTGAGCAGGCTGAACTGGATAGTAAACTATCTGGGCTAGCTGAACTCATGACGCCTATCCGGAAACTGGCATATAAGGGTTAAAGTTGGCAATGAAACACGGAGCAAGATGATGTTTTGCAAAAGAGTAAACAGCTGACCACAAGTGCCCCTTCCTAACGTCCTATGCTCCATCACTTCCCCTTGTGGTCCTGTGTGATAGAAGCCAGTTCAGCATCGATGCCGTGCTAATGCAAAAGGGGAAGCCAACTGATTTTCCCAGCCAAACGTTAACGGAGTCCGAATGTCGTTCCGCCCAAATCGAAAAGGAGATGCTCGCGCTGGTTTATGCTGTGGAGCGGTCGCCCGACTGCCGCATTTACTGACTACAAACCGCTGGTGTCCATAGCCAACAAACCACTGCTCGTCGTTGCGCGTCGCTTGCAGCTGATGCTCATTCGCCTCGAAATGTACAATCTGGAAATCATCTATCAACCAGGATCAATGATGCACATTGCAAATACGCTATCAAGGGCATATCTACCAGAGGTATTTGAAACACAATAAGACCAAGACGTCGTTAATGCTACGCAACTGCATACTGTCACAGAATAGCATCTTCAGCAACTACTACGCCACGCGGAATCAGATGTACTACGTAATCTACTATAAACAATTCTAAACCGTTGGCCCGTAATAAAGGCAAGCACCTCAAGCTTCTGACTCCATTATTAAACTTTCGAGATGAACTAGTAATGCAGGACGGATTGATCATTAAAGGTAACCGGATACTCGTCCCGAAGGCAATGAGAAGCCCTATACTGGATTTGATACATTGCCCTCACTTAGGCGTAAACAACTGTGTGGCGATAGCTCAAGGACTGATGTTTTGGATTGGAATGACCAGCTACATACGGGATCATGTCTCGAACTGCTTAGCATGCCAAACATACTACGTCCGCCGGCGGAAGGAGCCCATGATGCTTCGTGAAGTTCCGGAGAGACCTACGCAGATAATAGCTTTGGACATTTTCACACATGAAGGGAAGCATTACTTGATCATACTTGATTATTTCAGCAACTATTTCGAGACCGATGCCCACACGTCTACTAGCATGCAGGCTGTGATCAACATCTTACGACCCCAGTTTCTCCGACATGGAATACAGAAAGAGGTGATTTCCGACAATGGCCCCCAATTCAGTAGCGGAGTTTAAAATTTCGGCAAAAGGTGAGATTTCTTCACCGATTGACCAGTCCCTGTCATAGTCAATCAAAAGGAAAGGCTGTGTAAACCGTCAAGGTGGCAAAGAAAGTGCCTACCAAGGCCAAAGAAGCCCACGAAGATCTTTACCTGATGCTGCTGAAAGGACGGAACAAGCCATCTGATGAAATGAGAACAAGTCCAGCCCAACGGCTGTTCACCCGCAGAACAAGAACGCTGTTACCTCTAGCAAAGGCTCTATTACAGTCAGAAAAAGCATCGAACAGCCGGCTGCAAGATTATCTGCATAGGAAAATGTTGCGACAAAAGAACTGTGAGGGTCGGTGATCAAAACATCCACCAACCCCAGTGTCTGAGGACGAAGTATGGGTAAAAGCACTTCCGAGAGCTGACGAGCGTTGGAAATGGTCGTAAAGGAGAGCGAAGCTACGAATTATGAATGCGGAATAATGTCATTCGGCGCAACCGGGTGCAGTTGGAAAGGCTACGGGGCGAATATTCACAAAATCGCGCGCAGCAACCACCTCAGCAGTATGTTCCGGCGGACACCGTAGCCCAAGTGCACAAGATCACAAGCAGTGGAAAGTAATATGGCACAGAGAAGAGGAGAACTCCAAAAAACGAAAAACGGAAGATGTCATGATAACTGAAAGCTGAGGTGGAATGAGGCGCCTACCCCAGTGCTTCCGATCGGGCGAGCGATCGAAGGAGCTAGCCAGTTTTTAAATTACAGCTAAGTGTATAGAGTCTCAGGGTTGTGAATAGGACGTTTGTGCGCTGGCCCGTTGTATATATTTGTTTTTGTCGCCAATGGGTAACCCAACCTCACAAACACTGTGCGACTATTGGGAAGTCAGATTGTCGCACCGCGTGGTCTATTATGACTTGCGCGACTATTACTTAGCTTTAGAGAGTCATCGTGAAGCACTCGAGTTGTGTATACATTGCGACGCGCAATCGAAATATGGACCGCGATTCCCACTGAAGTAAACCTTGGCAATTCGACCCCTGGAACCGTAACTGATGAAGCAGATAGGCGGTGACCTAGTAATCCCCTGTTTCTCTATATGCCTTCGAGTATTTTGTGTGGGTGTGTGAGCGAACTTGTGCAGCTGCTTGACTATTACAACAGTGTATGCTACAACGACCCCATCGACAATAAGCTTGTTCGCTACGTCTTACTTCTAATGTTTTCTCGGGGTATTATTTTACAACATAGAATTATTAGTCTTGTGCTGCACGAAGCGACCAAAATAAACTACGAACGACGAGAGGACGCGTCTCTGAGAATGCGGCGGTAAAAGCAGACATCTTTGGCACAGAATAAAATCCTCAGCAAGTTTGTGTTCGTCAAGGGCAAAACCACCCACGAAACTACTGAAGTCGCCAGGATCAACGACAGCACGGTAAGAAACTTCATGATTTCTTAAAGCAAACGTGTACGAAACAACAGGGGGAAACTGACTTCCGATGTCTTGCAGCGCCTTAAAGAGACCATCGAGCGGCATTGCGAGTACAATTTAGTGCAGCTGCAGCTACGGCTGAGAGAGAGCGGGATCTACCTATCGGTGTCTACTGTCTAAAGCTACACAGATTCATGTGTAAAAGCAGTGGCACATAAACTGTACGAAGACCGGTGGGGAGAGAATGGGAAACCAGTTCACCACCCTCGATCGAGTTGATGGAGGTTCATGATCAAGTGAAGGGTTTGTAGTGGCACTCGTTGCTTACGCAATGCTGTTGCATTAGCCTGACCTCAATGTGGTCTGAACATCTTCTAGTCGTCTTGCTCCTTATTTCTTGCCAAAAAATTGCTGCTTTCCTGCTTATAACGCAATGCATACAATTTGGTTTACCAAACGTCCAATGTATGCAACGAGTCCAATTTGTTTGTTAAGTCATCCTATTTGTTTTGCAAAGGATTTCATGTGGTTTTCGAAACATATTGCTTTGCAAAACGTTAAAACGAAACTGAATCACACATGTATATATATATATATATATATATTTAGACGACGATTTGTTTTATGCCTTGTGGTGTACACCAAGTAAGTTTGCTGTGGACTACACTGCCCCTGTTAAACGTGAAATATCTATTTGGTATGTTTGCAGACGACCGGAGGATATACTGATGGTTTAAATCTTCCGACGAAGGCGAATTACCTTTACTATACCTCTCTATGTGGTTTGCCGAAGTCCACTTTAATTTCAGCCCATGCATTTTGACATCCGTGAGCCGGTTTATTCTCGTGCAGCAAACTGAAATCGGTGGATAACACAAAGGGGTTTTATGGAAACAGGCTTTGTATTCGGCACTTGGTCTGTTGGGGTGGCCACTTTTTCTTTCTGTTCCGTTGGAGTACGTCCGATTACGGCTTGCCCATCTACTGTGCAATCATCTGAATTGAAGCACAAAAGATAGAAGGGGTCTAACATATCTCTACCACGCTCATACCCAATATAATGGGTTCACTGTACGAAGAAGTGAGCAACATCCTATTACTCTTCATGGCGTCCCATCGTCGGTTGCAAGTCGAGCTTATTATAATCTACCACAAAGTCCATCTCGACGAATCCTCCATGTTGAGGCCGCTGCTAAACTTGCGAACGCCAGGAAGCACACAGGGTACCGGTACAATCTTGTAGGGCCAGATATGAGGCGAGTTCTCCATCCTGCGTTTCGAACTGAGAGCAATAAATGTATAGAAAAGTCTTCCGGAACAGGTAGAGATCAGTTGTCGCAGCAGTTCAAAACTCTGCCGGATTTACCTTTCACCACTATTCCATTCAGAGGGCTATTACACTTTAACAATGACGTTTGAATTTTGTGAGCCCTGTGCTACTGTGAGTCAGAGGTAAGTAAATTTTCCATGAGAACTTGAGCAATGAGTGGGGGATTAACGAGTGACCAACACTTTTGAACATTCTTAATTAAGTGTCGATGGAGTTGTTTAGATTCAAATTCCAACCACCTCTTGCGAAAAAGTAGTCTATATTCATAGTAACTCGTTATAGACATCAAACGTTGCCACAAATTAATGTGTTTTTGACATTTCGGTTTGTGGTATGCTTACCCCAAAACGCTCTCGATACTGAGTAATTAACCATAAGTCAATTGATTTAACACAGCTTATACGCTCAATATTGATATAGCTGGACACAGCGTGCCATCCCCTGAGCCAGAGTGTTTAATGTATTATTGCTAATCACCTTGGGAATGGAGATATACACTGCGACATCCTTTGAACGGCAACGCATGCGATAAACAAACAGTCACTTTTGAGAGCAGAGCGATAATACCAAGTCAGTTCTGGTATCATATCAATGTGGGACAACGATGAGCGCTAACTGCTTATGTACAATGTTTGTAGTGACTATCACCGTGTTTGGCAACGGTATGCTTTTTCTGATGTTAATATATTTGACTTTTATCCGTAGTGGAGGTTCATCTAGTCAGAACAACCGTTTCTTTTGCACAAGGCATGATGTTTGTAAACGGATTGCAAGATTGATTCCGGTTGGGAAATACAAACAGACAGAGAATAGAAAGGGAAAACAGACCGTAACTGACTTAATTTTGGAACGCGCTACCTTCAGCTGTGCAGGATATTAACATTAGTGTCGCATTGCAACCTAATCTTCCGCTGAATAGTATATAATCAATAGCAGATGTGCACAAGGTACAGTGACATCCAGCTTACAATAAGTAGGGCACTTACCAGCGTAACTTGCGTTGGGGATGGGCTGCTGGGCTTCACAGTGTCTTGTTTGTTCGTTGACACGTTTTTTCTAAAAGGTATACAAGCAGGTAGACGATTTCTCAGAATGAAGCAGTTGGGCCCTTGTGATGATTGGGCTCGTGAAAACTGATGAGAAATCATAAAGGTAAGTGTGAATTAAACTAAATAGCTCCATGTTCAAATTATCCTATGTACTCCAAGGCCTGCGTACGATTAATTTGAAGTAAGCACCCAACGTCTCCAGTTCCTGTGACGACAGTCCCTTTGGATCTGCTCATTGCTTCACCTATGTACTATAATACAATGACGAGTTCTCTTCTTAAAGAGGACAATGTTAAGTCAGAAGCCCGTCTTTTTAAAAGGGATCACTTTCCGCGATTCATATCTTGAATCGCTAGTTCAATAAGTTTGTCACCGTAATTTCGTCGTTTATAACAGTTTGCTCCTTAATCTGGGTAAATGTTTGTTTAATTCGTTGTGAACAGTGAAGGGTTAGGAGAAAAGGGAACAACACACCGTTGCCTCAAGTCTGCAAACTTCTTTTGTAACCGAATTGCAGTATCTTCGATCAACTGAACTCGCTCACAGCAGGCGTGGAGTTTTCCCATCACCATGTCCTCCATCTGGGCCATACATAATCGATGGGTGAGGTGATGCTCGGTTAACATCATATGATAATTTTCTTTCAGCTTGGTCGAAGTTTCCTTCTGGACGCGAGCACATTCTCTACCCAATGTCTCCGCCCACTTCTTGTCTAGTGATGCTGTCAACTCAGTGAATTGTGTACTCTTCTCAAGCTGCAACGGTACATGGCAGTTATGAGGCCAACGTGTCGACGAATTGTGTGAACAAAATCCAGTATCTCACATGAGGTAAAAAAAGTTGTCAGCTGTGAGATGCATTTATGAGAAACATATAAAGGTTATACCATGCACTCTTTAGATGTCAAGGCGAATTAGAGTTCCCTATGTGGAATGGGAAAACGAGTGATGACGGCAGCTTAAGCTAACTAGCATCTGGTTATCACTCAATACAGTACAAGTCAACTTTCTGAGAATGAAGGCGCTGAAATTGTTATGCAATATGAAAGTTGTTTGCCTGAACAATCGTAGAACCTTTCAGTCTTTTAAGTTATACTGATAAGATTTTGTTCGTCTAATCATTTACCATGGGTACATTCTGTAGTATCACAGCAGGAATACAATTTGGACACAGGCCAGTTTAGGTACCTACCTGGTAAAAGTTACAATGGTTTCAAATTAGTGCGTATTGGTAATTGTTATTCCAATAATTGTTCGGAGCTATGTAGTGAGTTTTCATGCGTTTAGGTCGGAGTTTTATTAGTTAAGCGCTCATTCTGCTGCCGCAGAGAAATAGCTGCGATTATTTTCAGACATTGGAATATCGGAACAATTTGCCGGACATAATAGTGGAGGTAAGATAGGTTTCGGAATTTAATTAATTTCCTGACGTCCACTTTGCTGACTACAGTGCAGCGGCAATATGCTGACACTGTGCAGGAATCAGCGACGTGAATCCCTGCACCTACGATGGAGCAACAGAGAATTTTATCCTCTTGCTCTCTATTATCCGTATTCACTATTTATCTTTTTAATGGCTTGCGGATGAGTGATTAAAATCCGCCAGCTTTTGCTAAACCGATACGATCAATGGAAACGCCATATTTCCTTTGAACTTCCATTTCATCGTTCATTATCAACCAATTGACATTTTGAATAGGGAAACTGTATACCTGAGAGCGTCACATTGTGCTGTTCGGTGACAGATTGCCCACCACTAGCATTTTTCATCCTCCTTTAGGTTTACGGATGATGTCACATTATATTTTGAAATCACTTCTCTTCATATGTAGCGTAAAAATGCTGGCGATAAAACACTCGATGAATTCAGCTAGACACTATCCGAATCAGATTCGATTCGCTATCGGTTCACGTTAACGTTGCAGCATTCTCTATTCAAAAAGTTCAAATTATATATATATATATATATATATATATATATATATATATATAAATTATAGTGGTTCTTAATTCTCCCGTTAATAAACGAGTTCAAGAGGAGGCGGATCAAGTCCCGTACTTTGTTAATTGCGGCAATGTACAAATCCGAGAGCGTCTGCGTCCTGTTCTGTCCGCTAAGTGCAACCTCTTGTAACCATCTATATGAAGATTGAATTTTGATCCAAAATGCATTAATTTTGACACATTTGAAGTGCATTTTTGGAAAATTCGAGAAACAGTCGGGCTAAGGGATATGCCTGGCCTCCGCATGGCGGTGATGTGCCCCCCGCGACAGAGAGTGCACAAGTTCACATCCTATCCTATGCACTCATAGCCCCAAGTACGCATGAAATCTTTGTACATGAATGTTACGGCACCGTTGGATGGATGTGGGTGCAGCTACTGTGGATTGATAAGCAAATATTTGAAAAATACAAGACCTTGTCAATTTACTTCTTTTATTAAATGCTCAATACGGTATTATGGGAGCAAGTGAAAAGCTGAATTCACACAATCTCATCGAAACAGGATCAAAAATATTAAAACAGCTATATAACACCTACCAACACATCGACAGTTTTGCAACTTTTCACATGATATCGTAAAATATTAACATACGATAGCGTAAATTTGGGCTCACAAATCTATGACTATATTACGAATTACCCATATGCATATTTTGCTTGGAATGGTGCAGAAACGCGCGACTCAAGTGGCAGAAGGCCATGCAACCAATTCAAGGTCCATAGGATAAGATGTGAAGTTGTGCACTCTCTGTCGCGGGGGGCCCATCACAGCCATGCGGAGGCCAGGCATATTCCTTAGCCCGACTTTTTCTCGAATTTTCCAAAAATGCACTTCAAATGTGTCAAAATTAATGCATTTTTGGATCAAAATTCAATCTTCATATAGATGGTTGCAAGAGGCTGCATTTAGCAGACAGAACAGGGCACAGACCCTCTCGGATTTTAATATTGCCGCAATTAACGAAGTACGAGACCTGATTCACCTCCCCTTGAACTTTCCAATCGTTTCTTAACGGGAGAAGTAAAATTCACTATGATGTAATTATTCTGCTGAAAGTGTGCCCTGCAATTTTACTTATTATACTATTTCGTGGAGTCTGGGTTTGTAACGCGCAGCAGCATCCCAAACATTAGACATTCAAGTAGAATTTCACAAAGTGTGACATTTTAGGTTACAAACCGTGGGACCTAAACTTGTTTTTCAGCACCCATATTCTATCGGTGCTCGTGGTAGTAGTAATATCTGCTCGATGTTGCTGTGTCGGCCACATCGCTTTTTGCTATCAGCAGTACAAGGCTAGAAATTTGATTATTATTCAAAACATAAGGCGTGTTCCGGGGTAACCACCTGAGTAGGAACCAAACGAACAGCAAAATTTGCTATTTGGTGTCGCAGTAAAGCACAATTGTACAAAATCTGAGAACAAACATTGATGATTATTAGAAATCTGAGAAGTGCCATTAGCAGAACGAATTTTGAGCTCGAGAGAATCTAGTGGGTTACATTGTTATCCCAGATGACGTGAAGCAAACATTGTATTACATACATAAATTAAACCATTGAGAACTTATAGACTTGTGAATCTTTGTTAATCGCACATTACTATCCATCTGCACACCGTTGGTCCACCAAAGATCTAGGGCAGCAAACCAGGCTGGTAATTTAGTCAGTAAGCGCTCACGGAAATCTGACGGTGATAACACGATCTGGAGACTTACTTTTAGTTTCTGTGTTAATTGCTCGATTTTGCGCTGCATTTTTTCCATTTCCTGTTTGCGCTCACCAAGACCGACTTCCAACTTTTCGACTTTGGAACGATTTTTCGAAGCCTCAGAAACCGCCTGATCTCGTGCATCTTCCGCCGCCTTCACGATGGATCGCATATTTGCTTCCAATCGCTCTGATTCCACGCGGACTTGACAAATCTGCAGTGAGTCGACAAGAAGACGTTTGATGAGAACGTCACACCAACAACTTCGAAAAGATTCCAATGAACCTTCGTAAGTATGGGCCGGTTTAGAACGAAATACTCTGGAGGTTGGCCTAGAAACCAAATAATATCGAAAGTCATTTCGTTTAGGCAGAGAGAAGACAGAGGCCGCGATACGTCAACAATTCTATGGTTCTCTTCAGTCGCAAACAAAATGCGTGCAGAAACACAACAATTATATACATGGAAAATATAAGCAAAACCAACCAAATTGTCACAGGCAAGATCATGGCAACCGAACTGATTGTCTCAAGAGTTTCTGTGCACATAGTACAGGTTGATGGGTCTTAATTAACAACGCCTCACTAATTGCCAGCATTATCGGGTTTTTGTTACTTAATAATAATAACATACTAATAATATCAAAGCGTTTCGACATAATTTGGAGTGTCAATGAGCGTTATTTGCCACTTCATGCATACAAATAAACCATAAACTTAAATTTCTTAGAAATGTTAATGTGATTGTATTGAGAATTTACAGCAGTGTTCTACGGTCAGATAGCCTACTACCAGTCTGGATAAGCACTAGACGGCCGTTTTATTCCCCTGAGACTTGTTGTTATCAGCATTCTCTAGGTCAATTAGAAACCGCACACATGACCATTAGCGATTTTCGCCACTATCTAGTTGCTATGTCACTGAATCGCTAGAGGCCGCGGTGATCTGTCACGAGTTACAAGCTAATTGCGATAGAACACGATTCGTCCTCTCCTAGCATGCAAGTTAGACGTTTCAGTGGACTAGGTTGGCCCTGAGAGTTACGGCCTCTACTGCTGCTTTTGGCAGTCAAGTGTAATAACATGTAAAATTTAATAGCATTACTATTACCACTATGAAACTACAAGCTCCCATTCATGCGCAATCAAAATACTCGCCCTAAATACTTCTGAACGCCATGTCATACATGGAAAACTTCTGTCGTTATCCCGCGACATAAAAATGGCTCTGCCCAAGAGGCTACAAACTGTCATCCCATCAGTCACACATTCATCGTATCTAGAATAATGGAAAGGATATTGAAAGTTGAACTAGTTATATTCTTGAACAACGCTAACGCCATCAGCAATTCGCAACACGGCTTCATGCAAGGTCGATCCTGCGCAACATGCTAGACTGACTTTTTAAACCACACAACGATTGCCATTGACAATGGCAACATTGTCATAATCCTATTCCTGAATAAGTAAAAAGCCTTTGATAGAGTGCCTCACAGAAGGTTACTAAACAAACTGAAGGCTATAGCCATTGGAGAACCGATGATCACTTGGCTGTTTTCATATCTAATTCCCAGACAGCAGTTGGGGCGCATCGGTGACCATTTCCCGATACCAAAAGCAATCGCTGGTGGAGTGATTCAAGGGAGTGTTCTTGGTCCTCTTTCTATTTTATATTAACGATATATTCCAGAGAATAAGAAACAGTGTTGCATTTGTCTTTGCTGATGACATTAAAGTTGTCTACTCACAATCACGTGCAATTACTCAGGAAGCCGTATGTCTCATTTAGGATGGCCTATCTGCCCTTGACTCCTGGTGCCAGCTGTGACAGATGTCATGTGCCGTGAACAAGTGTAATATTTTGTCGTACAATTGCCAAGTACTGCCAAACAGTTTATTACAACAAGACGTTGCTCTCTCGCAACGCAGGGCAGTTCGCGACTTAGATGTGGGATATTCAGTCACGTCTAACTTTTCTGAACACTGTGACTTCCAAGCTTCGAAAACCATGAAGACTATCGTTTATATCTGCCATCATTTTCCCCCACGGAATCTCGCATATCGCTTTACAAAACGTACGTATTGCCGTGTATGGAATACCGTTCAATGGTACAGTCTAATCTGCGGAAATCTGACCAGAACACTCTTGAGAAGGTCCAGAGAAGCTTCACGAAAAAAACTACGTGGATATTCCTCAAAGTTGACATACAAAGAGCGATGTGATAACCTTGGATTTGACCCAGTTTGGCTTCGGATAATGAAGCTGAACCTATGTTTTCTTCGCAGAATCATAAATTGTCAAGTACGCAGTCTTGAAAACGGTGTCCACATATCTTTAAACAGCAGATATCCAATACGTAACAAAGGGCTAAAGTTCACGATTCCAAAATTTGCTACGAGAATCAGAGAACGTTTCTTTTTAACCCAATACTCAAAGATTTGGAATAAACTATCAAGTGATATCAGAAAATGCTATACACTTTGAAATTTTAAGCTTGCGATTAGTAAGCATTTAACCGTCCAATACGTGATTAATATGTTCGGGACATCACATTCCTTAGATAACACATTCGAAAACCGTATCCATGGTGCCCGAATAAATTTTCAAAACACCTACAGCTAACATTTCGAACAACAGCCCCTTTAATTTCATTTTTTCTCGGCCCAAACATCTGTCATGTGATTGCTGAATCCTAGTTCATTGGCAGGAAAATAGCGGAAGGATTCTGATTACTCTGTGTTACCTAATTTACAATCGCGCCCATGTTTATTTCTGAAAATGTATTATTGCAAGGTCATGGAAAGGCAGTGCCATTATTTGATCTGTGCCTTTTAGGGAACAGCTTCTCACATCGTCGAGAAATATAAAATTTATTTGTTTATTAATTGTGGGATATTGCGACTCTGAAGACCAACCGTATCTTCGGCAAGGTTCATAACGAATGATGAGCAATCAGTGAAGGACGAGTCACGCTAAACGGCAGTTAGCTTGTAAGTCCTGACAATCCGCTACCGTCACCTTTGGCACTGTGGAATAAGCTGCTGGCCAGTGGCGCAAGTCGCTACTAGTTATAGGTCCGGCTTCTGATTATACTAGGGAATGCCTGCCACTGAGGAGTCTCATTAGGACGAAACGACCGTCTGATATTTTACGAACTGTTGGTAGAATATCGGACTTTGAAGTTATTGTGATAAACCTATAATTAAATGACATCAAAGTTCCCCATTCATGAGATTTTAAAATAGGTTATGTCTGCTTCTCGAGCAAACTTTAAGGAACCAGTTACACTTGATTAAGTTTTCATAGAAAAAATCCCAACCGACCAACAAATTTGCCCTTTCCACTAACGCTTTTAGATAGGGCATCCTAAGGATGTCATCTAATTCCTGGTTGGGAAAAGTTAAGCTGGTGACTTTGTACAGCAACAAAATCAACGCAGTTTTATTAGCTTGCACTGATATATATTCAGTCCACTGCTAACAACCTGTGGAAAAACAAAAGTAACAATGGAAGAGTTTTATCAATTACGTGTATGTTTCACGAGATAGTTGCGAGGTTCCCTATGCTACATAGTTAGCTCATTCAACTTGGAATCTTCTAGATAGTTCCCAAAAGATTGAAATGGCCTACAGTGATTTCCAACGTATGATGTTCGCCTGACTAATTCCATTTACCTTTATATCTGTTTGAAGACGAAACAACAACTAGTTTTGATGCCATAACTTCCTATGGATGGGAAAGGAGCCCGGCTAGGGTACCTCCATGCCAAAATGGTTTGAATCGCCCTTAGTGAGGTAAATGTCGTGATTAGCATATTAAGGATTCTGTGCAGATTACAATCGGATATGTTTTATCTTGTAGTATTTGGGATCCGGAATCCACTCTTCTTTATGTGGCATTAAATGCAATAAACCTTTTACCTCTTATCACGACCCAAACATGTTTGTGCAAATCCGTATGCCCAATAATTGAAAATACTACATTCACATAAGGTTAAAACGTACCTTTTGTACCGTACGAGACTTCTCTGCCACCAACTCTTTCTGCAGGGACTCAATTGATTTACGATATTTTAAAGACTCCAGCTCCATCTGCTTTTCCAGTTTTCGTATAACTTGATCAGTTTCCTGTGCATTGCAAAAAGACAGCGTTAAACGCATCCATGTTTACAGAGATACTCCATAAAACCTCAGATATAATTGGTAGTAGAGTGAAAACGCTAGAGCAGAGGCAATCAGTGAATTTCGAAGTTGTGTAACGAGCCATTGATGCCGGTGAAAGCTGATTATTGCTTACCGCAATTGAGAACAGTGCACTAATACAGCTCTAGTCGCAATCACCTGCCGCATATCAAGGGAACAGATGAGATTATCGGGACGGCGTGTGACAGTGATGCGGTCATCCATCCAAGATCGGGATTTTGAGCTGCTCAACTTTAAATCATTCAACTGTGGGATCACATGGAGAATAACCGCTCACTAATTCGTAGCAGGTTAGCGTTAAAAAGAACTGTAGTGAGGAGGTATTGGGATTGGACTAAGATTTACGCTTTTGCCAAATACCAGTTTCATTGTGTCCTGAATCAATACTTTTTGCCAAAAACATGATTCGATAAAGTCGGTAACGAGACATTTTTTCCGTTCAAAAAACCCGTTCTTCATTCGACAGGGGCCAGCGTAGCAATCTTACTTAGAGTCTCCAGTCTGTGTTAAACAAGTTATACCGGGATACGTGTCACACATAAAAGTAAAAATTGTAAGCCCATGCATACACAGCTTTACGGAGTGGGCCTACACTAAGTGATTTAGAAAGCCGATATTACAAGGACAAAGCAATTTTGAAAAAATCATTTTAGGATGAATACGTGCTATTATGCTTTAATTTGGGCCTCCTTTACTTCACATAAGAATTCGACTACGGTAGCTGCTGTCCACTTTGACGGTATGAAGCACTAACTATCATTTTTCTAATCTCCTGTGTATTGAAAACTTGCATGCTGAACACATTTCCGTCTTTCTGCTTGAACTAGATGTTTAGTCCATTACTACCAGTACGATTACATCCACAGTGAAAAATCGAGTCACAATTTTAGATGGACGATGTCATAGTGGACACTGCTATTTGGATGAGTAATTAAGCGCTGATGAAATGAGTGGATATCTAACCTTCCTATCAGCAACGACGCTTTGAATGAGTAAGTTGACACCGTCCCAGTAAAATGAAAGCCTATTGATAGTGGCAGAGATCTACAATCCAAAAGGTTTCTCTATAAATAGAAGTTGAAACAACTAAAGATAATTTCTAAGCTAAGGATTCGATAACCGACTCAACGACAAGGATGACATTGCTCCCACTGGAACACGTCGGTTCTACCTCGTGCGAAATTTCATCCAATAAATTGCCCTTACTGACTGTGAACGTGAAACTTGTCCCAGTGCTGTTTAGGTAGTTAACCGGCCAGACCGGTATCCCAGACAATAACAATTGGCTATACGCTAAAACATTCATGAACTGTAGCCATGTGAATAATTTTTAATGTTTCTACATAAATACTAGCTTGCTGAAAATAGTAATGTGTTTCCTTAGAAGCCACTGGCACTGAAAGATCCATCAGAATAGGTTCATTTCGAGAGTTCTAAGCAGAAATTTCTGGTTATTCCCAGTGAGATCACTTTATATCGGCGGCTATAAAATAGCCTTCCTAAACTTGACACGTGGAGTGTACCGGAAAGCACGCGCTTTCAGTATTTTGCAACATTGGATTTTACGGTTGTTTTAACCTTCAAAAAGTCCACTTGTTTTACTGACTGCACATCCGTTGACGCAAAGCGTTTTGATACGTACTTCGCTGCACCGCTTCTCGCTCTGGTTGATTCGCTTCCTATTTTCGTAGACCGCACAATATACCTTGGGTTCAGTCGCCTCCAGCTTCTATACTGTTCCGGATTTGACACATCTCTTACGTGTCATTGATTACCGACTAGTATCCCAGGCTCCACCCAACAATTGATGACCCCGCTTCAGAACACGCCGTCGGCCAAATTGAATTTTCATTCTGATGAGCTCGTTCCTTTGATTTTGTGAATCATTACTTGTGATCATATTGTTTTCTCAGCTACCACCTTTTTATCAGCTTTTTGAAATGAATTATTTAGAGGATGAGCAATCTCCATACGCGGTTTACGATGTTGAGCCCGTCATGGTTAATTCTGTTGCATTAACCCCTCACCTTTTTGGGAGAATGATCCTTTATTATGGTTTTTCTACCTAGGATCCGTGTTTCACATTCGTTGGATTTCCTCTGATTTCGCCGTGTATCATCAGCTAATATCTCGCCTTCCTCAGAGTATATCCTGGCAGATGAGAAACATCATATATAGCCTGTTAAACAGGCTATTATTCAACGAATCACGCGTTCTGACAAGGTCCGTCTGCAGCAACTAGTTAGCGATCCACAACTAGGAGATGGGATGCCCTCAGCTTTGTTACGCGAAATGCAACAGCTCATCAGCACGTCAACATGGACGTAGGGATTCTCCGCGAACTGTGGATGCAACGTCTTCCTGAAACCACTCAGGCTATACTTGCAGTAGCAAGTGACTTGCCAAGCACAGCAATTGCAGACCTGGCAGACCGCGTCATCGAACTGCACTAGCCAGAGGCTGAAACCGAAGCACCTAAGCAGCCTTGTGCTGGCGCAACCACCGACTAGCCAGCCGTCGGCAATCGACACATTACCATCGCAGATAGCGTCGGGAAAGCCCAAAGTACACTCATCTACATTAGGGATTATGATTCCGAGACCCAGTTCTTAGTTGATACTGGGGCGTAACACAGCCTCATTCCCCTATGCCAGGTGAGCCTCTCGCTTCTTTGTCGACAAGCCTCAGTGCCGCCAATGGCACTCCAGTAGCCACCTACGGTCATCGGTCTTTTACGCTGGACCTAGGTCTTCGACGCATGTTCCGCTGAGTATTCACCGTCGCTGCAGTCCCCTTTGCCATTATCGGCATTGACTTTCTCAGGCAGTTTGACCTCTTGGTCGATGCGAAGCGCCAGATGATAGTCGACGCTGCAACAAGACTCAGGGTACGTGGCATCACCGCCGATACCGTATCTACAACACAAGGTCTACGCCTTTCCCCAGACCTCGCCAGACTACGCCAACCTCTTTTCTCAGTATCCCAAGCTTCTTCAGCCAATGAACGCAGCTTTGCTCGTGACATCCGAACTCACGCACCACATAGGGAAGAATGGCCCACTCGTCTCATGCCGTCCACGCCGACTATCGCCCGAGAAACTAAAGGTAACTAGGGCGGAGTTTGAGCACATGCTTGAATTTGGAATAATCCGCCCTTCCGACAGCCCTTGGTCTTCGCCCGTGCAGATGGTACCCAAGAAATATGTTAACTGGAGCTTTTGCGCTGATTACCTCGCACTCAATCGCCTAACCGTCCAAGATAGTTATCCCATCCCACACATGCAGGGCCTTACCGCATACCTAACAGGTAAGACGATCTTCAGCAAGATTGATCTGGTTCGCATCTATCACCAGATACCTGTGGAAAACAATGACATTCCTAAAACAGCCGTTATCACTCCCATCGGCTTGTTTGAATTTTTAAGAATGTCATTTGGAATGTGCAACGCTGCACAAACCTTCCAACGCATCATCTACGACGTCAGTCGTGGATTGGACTTCGCTTATCCCTACCTCTATGATATTTTAGTCACCAGTTCATCGGAACAAGAGCACTTTGAGCATCTTCGAACTCTCTTCCAGCGCCCGACCCAACAGGGTGTCACAGTCAACCCGACTAAGTGTGAACTCGGCAAATCAACGCTAGAATTCCTAGGCCACCTTGTTTCATCGTCTGGTATCGAAGTCATTCCTGATAAAATCCAGGCAATCAAGGACTTCCCAACACCAACTTAGTTCAACCACCTCAGTCGATTTTGTGATTTAATCAGCTACTATCGACGCTTCATTCCGCCCTGCGCTTAGCTCATGCAACCTCTGACCGACCTACTCAGAGGGAATGTAAGTAAGTTCGCTTTTCCTGATATAGCACAGACAGCCTTCGCCGAGCTCAAGGATACTATCTCCAACATAGCCCTCCTCGCTCATTCCGAATCGACTGCATCCCTTTCTATTACGACTGATGTCTCAGACGTCGCGGTAGGAGCCATCCTCCAACAACATGTTGGTGAGAAATGACAACCCCTTGGGTTTTTCTTCAAGCGGCTGCAGCCAGCGGTATCCCGCTACAACACGTTTGGCAGAAAACTGCTCGCCATTTACCTAGCCATTCGTCACTTTCGGCACACACTCGAAGACCGCACTTTCACGGTCTACACTGAACCAAACCCCTTATCTTCGCCTTCAACTCTGCTTGCGACAAATATTCATCACGGGAAACAAGACACCTAGACTTGGTCACGCAGTTCACTGCCGACATATGTCATGTCTCAGGCGTCGACAATCCCGTTGCCGACGCTCTCTCACTCGTCAACCTCACACTCTAGTCTTTGCCCACCTTCGACCTTGCCGCCATGGCATCGGCTCAGGCTCAAGACGAAGACATACAGCGCACCCTGCAGTGCACTTCGCTGCAAGTGCAGACAGTTCCTCTCCAAACCATGGAAGGAACCATTCTCGTTGACACATCCACAGGTTGTCCTAAACCCCTCGTGCCCATCTCCTTCAGACACACTGTCTCCGACGAACTCCACGCACTATCATATCCCGGTATCCGTAAGTCTTTGAAACTGGTCACCGAACGTTTCGTTTGGCCACGCGTAAACAAAGATGCTCGTACCTGGGCTCACGCCTGTCTTCACTGCCAGCGCTCCAAAATACATCGTCACACCCGCAGTCATCTCGGTTCATTTCCTGCCCCGGACTCTCGGTTCTCGCATGTACACTTAAACCTGGTAAGTCCCTTGCCTCCGGCACGCGGATTCGTATACATTCTTACATGTGTCGACCGCTTCACCAGATGGCCAGAAGCCGTTTCTGTAATAGACTGCACAGCTGGGACTGTTATCCGGGCCTTCTTGGACCGTTGGGTCTCGCACTACGGATGTCAATCCACCATTACAACTGACCGAGGAACGCATTTCGAAT